CCTAACTTCGACTCACAACGTTCCCCCTCGTTATATATGAATATATCTGAATACGTGCAGAATACGTGAATGATTATTTGTAGCATATTTTATATAAGTTTATAAATTCTATTCTTCAGGTGCTGCAGAGAATTGATGATGTGTCTTTAATGTGCGACAAGCGAATTGCCAGTCTCAAGAAGTTAGCACTGAAACCTCCGCGACCTGTGCAGCAAGTTACACCGGAGCCGGCTGTTCCTCTACAACCCCCCGGAGGGGCACCACACCTACTCCGCCGTAAGCAAAATAAGGTAAGTACCACACTTTAAATTCGTATAGAAAAAAATACTTGCGTAAGTATGTACATATGTGCATAGCTTAAATCTAAATTCTTTGGAAAACAATTTGGTTACATATCTTCTATTTGTTAATTATACCCGATACTCAAAATGAGTATTGGGGTATATTAGATTTGTGGTAAAAGTGGATGTGTGTAACGTCCAGAAGGAATCGTTTCCGACCCTATAAAGTATATATATTCTTGATCAGCATCAATAGCCGAGTCGATTGAGCCCTGTCTGTCTGTCCGTCCGTCCGTCTGTCCGTCTGTCCGTCTGTCCGTCCCCTTCAGCGCCTAATGCTCAAAGACTATAAGAGCTAGAGCAACGATGTTTTGGATCCAGACTTCTGTGATATGTCACTGCTACAAAAATATTTCAAAACTTTGCCCCGCCCACTTCCGCCCCCACAAAGGGCGAAAATCTGTGGCATCCACAATTTTAAAGATACGAGAAAACCAAAAATGCAGAATCGTAGAGAATGACGATATCTTTTAGACTGCGGAATCTGAATTGGATCGTATTATTATTATAGCCAGCATCAAGAAAACAATTTCATTTTTTCTCGCCCTGTCTCTCTCTAACACACACGTAGCATAGGCGGCTTTGCTTAGAGTAAAACATTAGCGCCTAGATCTCAGAGACTATAAAAGCTAGAGCAACCAATTTCGCCACACCCCCTTCCGCCCCCGCAAAGGATGCAGATCTGGGGATATTCATAAATCTCAGAGACTATTAAGGCTAGAGTAACCAAATTTGGTATCCGCACTCCTGTTAGATCTCACTATAAAACGTATATCTCAAAATTTCGCCCCACCCCCTTCCGCCCACACAAAGGACGAAAATCTGTTGCATCCACAATATTGCAAAATCGAGTAAACTAAAAACGCAGAATCATAGACAATGACCATATCTATCCGGTTGCCGATAGATCGGATCAGATCGGATCATTTTTGTAGCCAAAAGCAAGAAATCAATTTTTAGTGGCTACGCAGCGCCCGACGTCACGCTCAGACTGATTTTCTGTCTCTCTCGCACGCACTCTTTGTCGTGTCGTTTAATATTAGCGGCGTCTGCCGGAGGAGAGCCATACTGACTTAGTATCGGGTATAACTGTAGAGTTGCGGTGTCCGCAGCAACTCACAACGTTCCCCCTCGTTTTATGTATATGTATATATTAATGATAATTGAGCACCACGAAAGTACTACCAGTACACAGGGTATGTAAAAGCCGACCTAGCATTTTGATTTAAGTGAAACTTCCACGGTAACCACTTTAAAGATTTTCTTTTGTGTTGCACAGTTGTTGTACATGTTTCAAGTTCATTGTGCGAATTTCACACACTGATCTTTTTATCTACTTATACAAAAGATTTGGCCTGGCGGCTATGAGCAATTGTTTCGTTGCATCAAATTGGTTTAACAAAAGCTCAGGGCGAAACAGAGCCAAGTCACTTGGCTCTGCATGATAAGACACCTCTACGACAAATTTCACTTTTCTCTATTCGGAGGTCGACTCGACGCGACTCAACTCGACCGAGAGCCCGAGTCCACAAAAGCTTTAAGGTCTGGATGGATACTTGCAACCGCCAGCCGCAATCCACGGTTGTTTAATGACCCGCTGCGACGCGGCGCTACATTTTGTTTGCGGACAAATCATAGCTGAGTGGAACCGCTGCTGGTATTTAGCATTACGATCGTTTTAATGACACCAACAGCCATTTAAAGGCATTTCCTTTTAAACCAGCATATATAGCTACAAGAAGCCCAAGAGCTTACCACCACTGGCGGTCTATGATGTGGTCATTGGCTTGCATTTACATAAGCCAATACAAACCCAGGCGAGAAGTATACGAGTGTACGAAAGAACGTTGTTCTCAGTTGGGAGTTACACGTTCGGTAGTCTTAGGTGCCTTGCCATACATATGTACACATGTACGTACGTACGTGCATACGCTCTGAAGATATGAATGAGCACGTACGCTCCATTCCGCGGCTTGTGGCTGTACAGGGAAGGTCAGATATATGCACTCGATAGCGGCAGTAACAATCTAAACTAATTTTATTACATGCTGTAACTGTTTAAACAGTTGGGTTTTCTTTCCGGAGAGAGAAAATAATTTGCGCTAAATTCAAAGTCTTCAATGCCGTGGAAAGACATATCTAAATACAGCTTGGATAGACTTTTATTTACCGTTTTGCTTGGCCAATTCTAAACGGAGCATTTATAAAAAAGGCCAGATGTTTTACTCTTTTCTAAGTCTGTGTCACTGTCGCCGCCAACATGCAACAAATGTACTGTTGACGACTGTCATGAAATAAATGAATAATGAGGCTACCATCATACTATACTTGGCACATTAAGACCTTTTTCTGAACTTCTGGGTGGATGATTAATGCTGGGACCGATTTGGTTCCGCTTTTTATTGTGTGTGGATCGCAAAAGTAGCTAAAGGTTGATATTGAAGCGACACGTTCTGACCAGTGTACGCACATTTTGTACGTATAGTTTTTAGAGCTTTCTACTGGAGACATTTCCAACATTTCAAAAGTCCGCTTTGAACAACGTTTCACTCGAACACAGCCATTGTACATAAAGTCCAATTTGTACACCTATTAATCAGGCAAACAATCGAAAGTCAGTTATATTATGCTACTATCAGGTGCTCATATAAATTACACTCAGTAAAAGCATTAATGAAACCAGTAGCTACGATGCTTGGATCTTACATCTACCACCCTTTACCGCATGTTTTCACCACCTCCAAGATACGGGAATCACATCATTCCCTAACCTAACTATTTGATGAAAGTTAATCGCCTTACAGAAAGCAACAGCTACTGATATTTTTACCAATGAATTTATTTTCAGTTTATCCATAATTATATAATTAATTCGCTTTTCTAGGCTTGTCAACGATCCGCGCGTTGTAGTAGCTTTTTCACTTTCACATATTTATGCATAAACTATTGTACTTATTATTATAAAATGTTTGGTCTGCTGTACTCGCCGCGCTGTTGACGTTTGTTTTCTTTTGATGTTTGGCGTTTTAAAATTGTTAAAGCTGCGCACGTAAGGTTGAGCAAGTGCAGTAAAAGCAGCACAGTCACAAGTCGAACTCTCTAATTTAACGCTGATGGGTAAATCAGAGGTCACACTGCGTACGTTGTTCGTGACTTTCCTTTGATACGAGCACGCAAGAACATAAATCTATCGGTGGACAGAGATACATTATCTTTGAATTGCATGCTCGTACGCGTACTGGAATTATGGATAATCCCCTTATGCAACAGAAGCGTTGCCCCATATTTCTATCATTTTGGCAATACGTTTTAAAAGTATGTAGTGATCATGAATAATAATTCAAAGCATTATAAATACTCTATTAAAAACATAACTAGTATACGCTTAAAATAAAGAGCCTTTTGGCATTACTAGGAAACAACATTGAACTTTATACTTACGCTTCGAAATAAACCGAGTTTTCTGATGGATTTGTGTATATATTTAAAACGAGGGGGAACGTTGTGTGGCGCTGCTACCCTCCGCCAGAGTGTGCACATAATGCCCGACAAAGACTGTGTGAGAGGGAGTCAGACACGCTGCGTAGAAATTTCATTTCTTCCGTCTGGTTCTGATCCGATCTGATTCAGATATGCAGTCTGGAAGATATGGTCAGTTTCTATGATTCTGCTGATTCTGATTTTCTTTTCTCGTATCTTCAAAATTGTGGATGCTACAAATTTTACAGTAGTCTGGATACAACATTTCGTTGCTCTATCTGTTATATGAGAGCTAGGCGCTAGGCGTTATATGAGAGCTAGGCGTCAAATAAGTCGGACAGACAGACGGACATGGCTCTATTGACTCGGCCGGCTAGTGATGCTGATCAAGAATATACATATATACTTTATGGAGTCGGAAACGCTTCCTACTGGACGTTACACACATCCATTTTCCCAAAAAATCTAATATGCCCCTATACTCACTCTGAGTATCGGGTATAAAAAAACCATTGTAAAGGCCCAAATCTATCAGAAAAGTCGGCACGAAGAGTAAATATGGTGTTGTATAGTGCAATCATTCCTGAGACTCATTGACTTTACTCATTAATATACTCTTACTCTACAAATATTCAAGATACTGTAATTTTTTCAAGTAATAGATTTGGCCTTGCCATGGCAAACGTTCCAGGGAATCAAGATTAAATCGGACACAAAAAGAAAGCTGCGTTGAGGGCCAATTAACCTTTCACCAAAAAAATATGTCACGTGTCTGTGGCCAGGCTGCCCAGACATTTTCACGTCGCATAAATATGAGCATGACATGACGGCTGACTACCCAAACTAACTTTTTGTCTTACTGATGGCAATACTGCTATAGAATTTTGGCCTACTTTTGGCCGACATACAAATTTCCACAGAATCTCCATGCATGAAAATTATTTGCTTGAGTACGTGTATAAGCTTTCAATAAAGATACAATATAAAGAACTGTTATTCGATTTCACAGAGCAGTTATTTCATCTGTGCGTTAAACTCTTATGCTCAATTTTATTGGGTAATATTTTTTAAGAGTAATATTCTCAAAAATAAATTTTTTGTTTTAAATTAAAGTCTACCTCGTATAGGTTTAGCTATTAAATACCTCTAAGAGGGTTGTGCAACAATTTCCTAAATCAATTATGTATTTGTTGGTGTTTTTTTAAAATTGTCGACAAACAACTCGGCTACAAAGATCAGCGTGGCGACTGTAGATCCCAATACCCAGACGAGTATAATACCTGCAAAATTCGACATCCCAAGCCGGACAGGACCAATATCCTCTTGGCTCCTCGTCATGGTGCTCTCCACCTGCTGTTGTTTCTGAACGTTGAGATTGTCGGCGACCACACGGTACTCCCAGTATTTATCGAATCCGGATGAATGCCAACTATAGATTAGCGTATTGAACTGCTCAAGTAATGGCCACAGTCTGGGAACGAAAGCCACCGTGTATTGGTAGTAGAGGTCCTCCTGCATGATTACCATTTGATCGATAGCTTCTGGTAATAAGTAGTCCCCAATTGCAAAGTGACCTGGAGACATTGGATATCAACATTAAATGACATATACATTTTCAAAATATCTAAGATACCGAAGGGAAGACGTTCTACAGTGAAACCCATTCGCACTTGAGTCTCCTGTGCCAATTCGAGCAGCTGCTCATCGCTGTAGATGTGGAAATTGCTTAAAAGATCTTGCACCAAAGGCTGCGAAAGATAAATGGCTCGTAGCATAGCTATTGTACCACACACAACTTACATCATCAGAACCACGGATAGCTGAAACCCATGCCTCCGAGTTAGCGGCCCACTGCAAACGGTGGTTGCGCAACCGTGGCACTGTGTCCGCCGCTTCAGACATACTTGGTATAGTCAATATACTAGCCAGACCACCACCATAAATGCTGGTTATGATTATGTCGTTGAGAAAGCAGGCAAAGAGCAGCACACGGACAGTTACAGAAGTCGTTTTACTGTTTCCAGACTGCGAGATGAAAAGCTTAAAAGCCGTAGCCAGGCCCAGCTTTGCGCAGCACCACCAGCCATCACGGGCGATTTCCGAGACGTACAGCTCTTGCTCGCTTCTGTAGGCCAACACCAACCCCAAGGTCTCCAAACAGAGATACACCAGGACCGCAGCCCAGAGGTTTGTTTGAAACGGCTGAAGGGGAAGGTACCAGCTAGCTAGTCGGAGAGGTGCTGGGACCAGACAAGTTATTCCGGACCGCACGAGATACATTGATAGATCTAAATATGTGTAGCCCTCATACCACGAATACATTGCGCCAATGCAAATATCTGCTTTGTGATTAATAACCATGCCCATGGCGCCATCCCCAGACATATTTTGGTAAACGGTGCCCCAATCATCGGCATCAGCTGTCAATGTTAAAAGAGAAGGGGTTCAACTCAGTGTAGTTAATTGTAGTCTTCTTGGTAGACACTAGGACCTAAGTTAAAACGTATTGACGACTTACTTGTGTCAATTTGCACTGTACAATTGAACTTTGCACAAAAGTTGAGAACAACGCGTGCTTCCGTGCCATCAATGTAGACATTGCTCAAGCCTGAATCTTGTGTCACACCTATATCACGTGTGTTGCTATTCTCTTTGTTCTGTAGAATGGATACAGATACCTTAAGTTTTTTACTGCGAGGTTTGGCAAATAGCTTACATATTTTATAACCGTATAGGGTCTATAGTCAAAGCCGGCGATGATTACCTCACGGCCCTGCAAGTCCTTTAGCTTATTCGGGAACAACAAATTCTTTAGCTGAAATCGTTGCTCTGCGACATAGTATCGGTCCAATAGTTGTAATTGTGCCGGTTTTTCCGCCCTAGTGCCCACATATTTGTTGGTCTTTATTTCAAAGACGGCCCCAGATGCATCTTGACTCTCCACTATAAACAGAATGTTCGGCTGATCTGAGGATATTCTAATGATGATGATATTTGATGGATGATATTTTAATTATTTACCCTCGAAGAAGAAGTTGTCACAGCAATTCTCGTTCAGCTCATCAGCCACGTGCGAGAAAATGAATCTGTTGTGCAAAGAACGCCATATGGAATACATGGATGCATTTGTGAAAGCGTCCACGAAACGTGCTATGTCATTTCCAAATACCATAAAAGTCTGCATTTAAGAAAAGAAATTGTGAATAGTAGATTGTAAAACCAATTTGAAAATCGTACCTCACAGTGTGTCACCTCAATAGATATCATAAGCTTGAGCAGAAGGTCATCGTACAGCAAATTTTTCTCCTGTAGCTGTTTTTTCATTGACCGTACATCAACAGTGCCTTCATCAAAACTTCCCTTCAGATTATTTATATTAATACCCACGAAACTGGCATAATCAGCAACAGAGGCTTGTGGCTGGAACTCAAAGTTCCTATTCCAAAATAGGCATATGGTACTCCCATTCAAATAGGTTCCTACTTTGTATGACATATTTTCCTTGAAGTATTTTCCTTTTCGCCATCAACTTACTTACTTATAGAATTAAGAACAAGCGACCAACTCTGCTGCACAAATAACATTTTCATTTTGAACATTCGATGGTTGGAAGTCGAGCGATTTATTTACACCAAATTGAGCTGAAATTGCAATAGCTTTGACCGATTTTATTTTTTTTGTTTGCTTATCAAATGAAGCAATTGAACAAATTGATGTAAACGGTTATCTATTGTCAATTATAAACGCTAAAGTGGAAGTATTTGGTTTTCGAAGGGTATATCAACTTGGCCATTTATTTTTTTAAAGTGGATGTTAATAGTAATGTTTTTTTCATCTTTACTTTATGAAATAGCAGCCAATTATATCCCGAACGAAAGGAGCAAAAATCATGTAAAAGTCGTATAGCAATTGAACGCTTCTTTAAGATAAGTTTGTAGTGATTTTAAATAATATAAAATATATATTTAAATATGTCTTGACCACATATGACTTCTGTATATTGCGCATTTATCGACCGATCAATGCATCAAGAAAAATATATTTTTCTATGCCATATGATTTATCTTCAGTAATTATAATTTCTTAGGACCTTGATTTCCGCCATTTGAATTAATTTAAATTAAGCTCGTATACAATCTGCATAGCGGTTTTTAAGTGCTACCTTCTACTAGGCCTAACAGGTACCCAACCATTTTTGGTAGAGTACTCGAAGAGTATATTGGTATATTAGATTTGTGGTAGAAGTGGATATATGTACCACTGAGGAGGAAGCGTTACAAACTCCATAAAGTATATATATTCTTGATCATCATCAATAACCGAGTCGAGAATCATATATCTGTCTGTTCGTCCGTCAGTTCGACTTGTTTGACGCCTAATTCTTTGATACTAGAAGAGCTAGAATCTCCAAGCAATTTTGTGTGCAGACTCCTGTGATATCACACTTTTTTTTATTTAATATTTATTTTTTATTAGTAAAATTAGATAATTAGTATTGTATTTTGTATTTTTGATTATGAAATAATATCCCTGAAACAAACAATTTTTTGTTCCTGTTAGAGCAACTTATACAAAAGTCACAAATAAATAAATACAAAAAAATGCGTGTCATCAAGGTCGAAGAATTCGGATGAGGATATTATTTGGTTCAATTATCTGTCAAGGTTTTCTAGGGCAGAGGTCCTCTCCTGTTGTGCAGTTCGACTGGGTGTATTGGGCCAGCCTACACCGGTATCTGGATCTCGCAAGACGCCTCGCCAGTACATTAGGGTGGCTTCTGAGCTTACAAATGTGGTTAGTCTTGGCTGCAATCCCATACACCTGAATGCCGTGGCACGGGCTAGTATGACTTTATAGATCATGACTTTGTTATACCCGATACTCAAAATGAGTATTGGGGTATATTAGATTTGTGGTAAAAGTGGATGTGTGTAACGTCCAGAAGGAATCGTTTCCGACCCTATAAAGTATATATATTCTTGATCAGCATCAATCAATCAATCAGCGTCTGTCCGTCCCCTTCAGCGCCTAGTGCTCAGAGACTATAAGAGCTAGAGATCCAGACTTCTGTGATATGTCACTGCTACAAAAATATTTCAAAACTTTGCCCCGCCCACTTCCGCCCCCACAAAGGACGAAAATCTGTGGCATCCACATTTTTAAAGATACGATAAAACCAAAAACGCAGAATCGTAGAGAATGACCATATCTTTTAGACTGCAGAATCTGAATTGGATCGTATTATTATTATAGCCAGCATCAAGAAAACAATTTCATTTTTTCTCGCCCTGTCTCTCTCTAACACACACGTAGCATAGGCGCCTTTGCTTAGAGTAAAACATTAGCGCCTAGATCTCAGAGACTATAAAAGCTAGAGCAACCAAATTTGGTATCCACACTCCTAATATATCGGACCGAGACGAGTTTGTTTCAAAATTTCGCCACACCCCCTTCCGCCCCCGCAAAGGATGCAAATCTGGGGATATTCACAAATCTCAGAGAGTATTAAGGCTAGAGTAACCAAATTTAGTGTCCGTACTCCTGTTAGATCTCACTATAAAACGTATATCTCAGAATTTCGCCCCACCCCCTTCCACCCCCACAAAGGACGAAAAACTGTTGCATCCATAATATTGAGGATACAAGAAAACTAAAAACGCAGAATCATAGATAATGATCATATCTATCAGACTGCTTAATCTGGATCAGATCAGATCATTTTTATAGCCAACAGGAACAAATCAATTTGCAGTGGCTACGCAGCGCCCGACGTCACGCTCAGACTGATTTTCTGTCTCTCTCGCACGCACTCTTTGTCGTGTCGTTTAATATTAGCGCCGTCTGCTGGAGGAGAGCCATACTGGTAAGGCTAAGTATCGGGTATAACTGTAGAGTTGCTGTGTCCGCAGCAACTCACAACGTTCCCCCTCGTTTTTAGCTTGTTGAGCTGAGCTTGTTGCTTTGTTTAACTACCCAGAACATTTTCTGAGCCTTACCCACCAACTTGCTCCTCACGCTACGAATGTGACTGTCGAAAGTATAAATCCGAGGTATGTGTGATTCCTTTCCCAAGCAGGAAGACGCCAGGACTAGAGCCTATTCTTAAAGTGTGCGTCACCACTGCACTTTTATCAGGGTTTATGGAGATGTTCCATCGGCAGGCTCAGTTCTTAAACAGCTTGAAGTATTGCTGTAGATTGTCTGTGGCATCATAGACACAGCTAGCCCTCGAGAGTACTGCTCTGAGCTGCCACCTTGAGGGTCTGCCCTGTTTGCCTTCGGACCGTAGAGCGATTTGGCATGGCGAGGGTGGATAAGCAGTACAGTGTCGGACGCTGTACGCAGTACGCTGCCTTGCGGTACTCCTGCCTTGATGGTCTTGGTCAAAGAAGCTGCACCAACCTGGACTACACGGCAGGTACTGTACGTCAGAAAGTTTTTAATATCTTCATACAGCTGAGGGTTCAACATCATTTTTATCTTGACGAGTACTCCCTCGGTCCTCGTGATATCACACTGAATCAAGTTTATTTTTATAAATTTCACGCCCCCAAGAAGTGCAAATCTAGAACTAGATCGGATGAGTAGATGTTATAGCCAGAAGGAACAAATGTAATTACAGTGGCTGGGTACAAAAATTTGGCTGGATCTAAGACAATGGACTGACTACACATGGATTTCTCAAAGTCTAATTTTTAAACTACTACTGGTACTATTTGTTGTGATATTTGTCACAGATGAGAGAAAGTATTACGCCAACATTCAATTAGATCTGGAATAGGCTTACAAATTTACTTATTGAAGCAAAATCAGTTGAGACCGATGTATTTCGTACGTTTCGGTTATTACGCTTCGGACTCTCGGATTGAAGCAGTTGCAACGCCGTATTAGGCTTTCCGCTTAAAGCCTTTCGCGACCTAGTGTCACTCCCATATACTTCACATTACGGCAAAGGTTTGGTTTGGTGTGGACGATAAAATCAAAAGCTTAATTTTAGTGATGCTGAGTTCACCGCTGACTTTGCGTCGCATACAATGGTATACACGCATGTTTGTTACGCGATAATTTCTCTTGTCGCTTTTTGTTTAATTTAATTAATGAAAAGATGAATTTTTCAGTTTCATTGTTTTCGACGAAGTTTCTCTTTCAATTGAACTTTCTGTTGGGTTCGTTTCGTTTGCACTATATTTTCCAGTGTACGCTACTGCTGGTGGTAGTCTATTTGTGGTTGTATTAATTCTTTCCTTTTAAACCCCTACTTGACATTTTTTTCATGGCACTGGTGAAAGGAAATTAAATGTATCAATATAAATGTAGTTTCAACAGAATTTCAATACAATACAAAGGAAATATTTTTATTTTTCATCCGATTTTCCAATTAATTAGTCTTCGTCAGTTTTTTTATCATAATTTTTCTGCAATCTTATCGTTAGCTTTAAATTTTTTTTTTAAGGTAAAGCTGTTGTAATAAAACCTACCTAACTACTTCAAGCATCCCAACCTCAACAGATAGTAGTGCCGCAGGTCTTGGAAGCCCGACGGTTAATTTAGCAATTACTTAATTATAGACTCTAGAAAAAATACTGTATATTTGGAAACCCAACAAAATCTTATTTTCGTCAATATAAGAAACATTTCAAGAAGCCGTCATTAGCGGAAACCCGACTTACAATCAGACCAAGGTGGCAGGTGGCAAAATGAGAAAGAAAGCGCAAGAATCTAGGTGGATTGCGGCCAAGAAACGGTTCGCTGTGGCAGTGGATAAAACGAAAAATATACATATCTAATATATATCTCTAATTTCGAAATGTTTAATCTATTTAATATTAATGTAATCAGGAGAAATAAAATATGTTTTTAAATACGTACCATAAAAACAAAATATTTGTTTTCATTATTAATTTTTTAATAATGTAAAACACAATTTGTTGTTTTATGTATTCTTTTGTGGCGTCCAAATGTCCGGTTCTGTTTGTAATATTGGCCAATGTGATTTAGATAGTCGAAAGTGTTGTCTGTTTCCAGTATGCAGGGAAGAATTCTGTCCGAATATTATTCTAAAAAATATTTTATATATATAAAATTCTATGATTTACACCACATTCATTTCTATAAGCTGATTGGCCGTTTGTTTTATCCACTGTACGTGGCCTCAAACCCAAACATGTTGCATCGAACTCGCTGCAGTGCTCATCAAACCCGAAGATTATACCCCAGCAACATGTGGACGAGAGTGGGCAACATTGTAAATACCCTTGGGCAAAAGGCATATTAGTGACATTTTTTTCATATCGTGGATCCATAGTATGATTAATATATTAATAGTATATTAAATTAACCGATTTTCTAAATTTAATTTTCGAGAAACAGGAAACTAACCTTTTTTTAAGCTGTCTCAACGAGATTTCCCATTTGTATTAAGGAGGGTTCCACAAAAAACTCTAGAGTTTTTGACTTAAGAGTTTTTCCAAATCATTTTTCGGACACTTTTTCGTAGTTCACGCACAGCAATGAGAATTGTAGCACAGAGTTTTCATATCTTTAAGTTTTGTTTTTTTTTATTTTTTCATTTTTATTCAAAATATCCACT